GACTTCCGCGAGGGCGACGCAGCTCGTCGACCCGAGCTTGCTCTTCTGAGCACGCCAGACCGCCCGCAGCATAGTGCCCCATCGACGTCTGCGCCTCTTCGCAAGGTAGACACCTATCCATACCCATAAGCAAGGAGCACGCGTTTCCCGAGAAAAAAGATCTCACCATCGCCGAACGCACGCCCGCTGGCGACAGTCTGATACCGCAGCCCATGACGGATAATCTGCACGTACCTATCAGCACATATCTATCGAAAAGTCCAGAGGGAAAGACATACATAGCGAGTGACAGGTCCGGAGCGCCGACCCGTGGAACGCCTGCAGCGCAGTTGGTCTACGCTGATTAGGAAGGCGAGGAGGGGAGCACGCACGTATAAACTCGGGTACTTCTTCGCATTCGCGTCCGTCGTCGTCGTCGCGTTCTGCAGCGCGTTCTGGGACGTGACCTCTGCATCGGGCGCTCCGACGCTGAAGCGGAACTGGCGCCAGGCCGAGTCTGTGTACAGCGGAAGCGCATCGGTCAGCGGTGGTACGTCGTTGAGGGTCGAGGAAGAGATAACGGAGAAAGCGAGAGTACGCACCGACGCCCTGGATACACTGCGCGTCCGACATCTCCTCGAGGTACGCGGTGCACGAGGTGACACACCAGCGCAGGACAGACCGCGCCGCGTGGACGATGCTCCCGTTCTCCATCTCCTTCAGGCGCGGCTTCGCCTTGCGCTCGAGGTGGTGTCTGTCCAGCGGTCAGTCAGCCATTCGACGACAAAGCGCAGCCAGCAAACGTACTTCATGTCGTCGACCTGCAGATAAAGGGTGTTAGTAAGCCAAGAACGAGCCAAGCCGACTCACCGACGGCAGGGTATCAACCAGTCCCGCAATGCTCACGCGCATCTGCACCTTGCATCAGCCCTCGAAGCTAGTGAAGTAAGACAGAGAGACACACATGCTCAACCGGCAACTGATGAAACTCTACCAGCCCATCGAGCCCGACCTGGTAATTCGCCGCCGGCACCGTCGCTGCCGCATTCGCCGCCCCCGGGTTCTGGTACATCTGGTAGTTGTTGACGGGCGTCGTGGTGATGCGCGCTTTGTCGGGCGGGGGGACGCGTAGGCCCATGCTCCGCGGGAGGGGCTCGTCGAGGACGCCTTCGGCGGCGGCGGAGTAGCAGAGGGAGACGAGGAGGTCGACCGTCTCGAGGTTGTGAATGATTTCGTACTGGTGGAAGGGTTAGCGGGGCGCGGGAAGGGAGGATGGAATGAAGATGAAGAGCAATGAAGGATCAAAACAAGGCAAGAGATGACGGTGAAGAGTATCACGACGAGCCAGGGGGGGTAATGGTACAAGAAAAGTAACAACGGACGAAAAGGCCACGAAGACGAAGAAAACACAAGTCCCGATAATGAAATAGAGAAAATCGAGAAACTCACTTCCAACGACGCCCCCAGATTATGCGCATAATACTGGTATGTGCACAGCGGGCGGTCGCACACATACGGCTTGAGCGCCTGGAAGTCGGCCGTGAGCTTGTTGTGGCACACGAGGCAGTAGCGCGTGCATAGCTGCGAAGGGAAAAGGGCGGCGTCAGGATTCGGATTATATTCAAGACCGAGAAGGAAGAAACGCGAGCCTCGTGGCACGGGAGGGATGGGAGGATGAGCGGAGGGTGGGAAGAGGAGCGCGAGGCTTGCGGCACTGCGAGAGGGGAGGCAAGGCAACAGCACGGCAGGGTGGAAAGCGAGGCGAAAGGGAGGCAACGAAGAGAAAGACACAGATACTCACCGTCAAACGACATTATACTTCGAGGAGGGAGGAAAGTCGGAAAGGAAGGAGAGAGGAACAACGAAGAACACGCCGCATGTCCAAACCTCCGTTTTTCAAGTGATTCAAGAGGCCATCCCGGATCTCACGAACTTCGTGACCATCCCAAATCATCTATGATACTCCTTTGTTACATTTGGCTTATTGGTTCGTCGAGGTACCTGTACCTAAGTATTTCATACGTAGATGAATATCACACTGTTAAACTGTTAAACTCCGCCTCAGAGTAAACCGGTTACTAGCTACAAGTATGCCCAACGTGCCGCTTGCGGCGAGGGGCAAATTGATGATTTAAAAAAAAATATAAAAAAGAGTAAACCGGATCCCAAGCAAAGAACCCGTGACTTGCTCCAATTGTAAGTTCCTTGCCTGTACTCACTCGCGGCCGCCATGGCGGTGGTGACGAGGAGATAGAACAGCAACAGGAACAAGAGGAACGCATCCAGGTACCAGACGGCGTCCTCGATGCGCACGGGGACGACGCGCGTCAGGACGTGCCCCTCGTGCGTGTGGTGTGCTGCATTCGCAAAGAACGAGAAGAGCGCCAAGACGCCAATGAGGTACGGCAACTCGACCTCCTGCATACGGACCAACGTGGAGAGCGCGGGGGCGAGCGCGGAGGTATAGAGGGGCACGACCTTGCGCGGGCGCCTGCGCTTCTTCAAGGCATCCACAGCGTCGCCGCTGATGCTCGACAACAAGAGCTCCTTGCCCTTCTTCAAGGCATCCGCAGCGTTGCTGCTGATGCTCGACAACAAGAGCTCCTTGCCCTTCTTCAAGGCATCCGCAACGTCGCCGCTGATGCTCGACAACAAGAGCTCCGTGTCATCGTCGTCCCCGGACGTTGGCGTCGGCGGGGGGGCCGCCTGCCTCTCTGGTATCGTTACAACGACCGCGGAGGCGCCGCGGCGCAAGTGCGAGTAGACGCTCTTGCCTATAGGGAGCAGCACACTCGCGAACATGGCGGCGCTGACGAGGAGATGGAACGCCTGCAGTAACCCGATGGTGTCCTCAATGCGCACGGGGACGACGCGCGTCAGGACGTGCCCCTCGTGCGCGCGGTGCGCTGGCGACCCGCTGACGTTCGCATTCGCAAAGAACGAGAAGAGTGCGAAGACGCCGAGGAGGTACTGCCGCTGCTGCGGTGCGGCCTCCTGCATAGGGACCGACATGGAGAGCGGGGAGGCGAGCGCGGAGGCAGGGAGGGGCATGACCTTGCGCGGGCGCCCGCGCTTCTTCTCGCCGTCCGCAGGCGTGGGCGTGGGCGCGGCGGCGGCGGCGGCGGCGGCCTTGGGCTTGGGCTTCGCGGCTGCCGGGTCGACCTTGGGCTTCTTGCGCTTCCGCCCCACGCTTGTGCCGTCCTCGTCGCTCTCTTCCTCGCCCTCCTCCGCGTCCTTGTCCGCGGCACCCGTCCCGCCCTCGCTGGCCTCGTCCGTCTCGGGCCCGCCGAAGCGCGCGGCCCACTCGCGCTCCCACTCGTGCAGCAGCTCGCGCCCGCCGACGAGGCCGCCCAGGAGGGTTTTGACCCCCGTGAGCTCGCGCGCGAGGCGGGCCTCGCGCTTCTTGAGGACGCGGATGTACTCGACGGCCTTGCCGATGACGTTGGTCTTGGAGCACTTGCGGGCAACCTTGACGCCGTCGACGAAGCCGCGGGAGTCGACGATGTCCTCGGGGCCATCGTCTTCGCCTGTCTCGCCGGCTTTCATTGCTGCTGCGCGGTCGACGACGCGGAGAGCGGGGACGGCCTGGCGGAGGGACTGGATGCGGGCATTGAGGTTGGTGCGGTAGCGACGCTCGATGATGGAGTGGTTCGTTTTGGGGCACGAGGGAGAGGCAGCGGCGATGGGGGCGTTGGAGAGGACCGGGGCTGGGACGGGGGTGGTGAGGAATGCGGGCGGCGGGGGCGTGTACCAGGGTGCTTGCTGCGGGGGCTGCTGCTGCTGGTGCAGCTCTTGCTGATGTTGTTGTTGCTGCTGGTCCTGATTTATCCGGACGGCACGAACAACACCGGCAGCGTTGCGGACGCGGCTCGCCAGCTCGGTAGCGGGGTCTTCCTCAAACTCGGACGCCGGCGGGGAGTGGGGAGGGAAGAAACCAGAGGTAGAATCGCCTCTGGATGAGCTGTGCGAGCTTATGTGGGGCGGTTCAGAGGTGAGCTGGAGGGGGTCCAGTGCAGGGTATGCATAGTTCAACGCGTTGAGCTCAATGCCGACGTTAGAGTCGAAGGACATGCCCATGAGGCCGAAATCCATGGCAAATTCTATGTTGGGGTTGTCTACCGGCGGCAACATGCTGGAGAGGGTGTTCCAATCGAATGGGATGCTCGCCAAGTCTGTGTCGGTGTCTGTGCCATCGTATTGGGAGTGGTTGTGCAGCAGCAAGTTGAGCGGGTCGCTGGGGTCGAGGCCAGACATGAGCGTCGAGGACAAGTCGAGGACGTAGATTCTAACCTTTTTCTACTGCGCGCGCGCGCCAGAAAGAATCAGACCACTGGAGCGCCACGGCCCGCCCTAGTCAGACCATAAACACGTGTTCTCTCTTTGACAGGCGGAGATGATGATCTCCGAGATGTCGTTACAGCCGATTCTGAAAGTAAATTACTAATGAGAATGACAAAATATAACATATTTGGAGGCATATTTCTTCGTAGCATATAGCCATAACAATCAATTTAGACGTCTCCCGTACCTCGATTCAGCGGTGCCGAATCTATTTTTCCAAAAAGTGTCAGCACCAAGAATCGAACGATCAGTAAGTATTCACCACTCAAATCTCAATCATCCGAATATTAACTTGCCTCGACGCGAAAATGCCATCAGACGAAGTATCCCCAGTGAAAGAAAAAGTGTTTCGACGCCGACATAACTATGCCCCGAATCGAACGGGGGTCATCCGCATAATTCATGATTATCGCGGCTACATGAAAGCGGATGCGGTCGGCTCCACCCCAGGTGTTTAGTACCCATATTCGCTCATATCCACATATCTTCATCTCCCACTCCCTCATTGGCATTTCTGATGCCACCCAAATGAGAACGCTCCACCGATTTGGACCCCTTCTACATCTTTTTTTCCCCGCTGGTGGGCATGAAGAAGACCTCGCATCCGTTTCATGAATCTTATCAAAAGCCCAGCGGGTTCAGACGACTACGAAAAACAAACTAAAGATCATCAACTCCCACGACCTGGCCCCGAATCGAACAGGGGTGTTCCGCATGGAGACATTCATAATTCATCAAGCGCGGATATGGACCACTCCACCTCCAGGTCTTGAATCTACCCTTGCTCACTCCCTTACCTTCAAGCCTTCAAGCCTAGCCCTTCTCAATGTTGAAGTTCAGAAACCCAACAATCGATCAAGATTCCGCTTCAAGTTGAAACCGTATGCACATAAACATTGGACATTGAACACCAACGAGAATCCCAAAGAATGGTAAAAAGGACTCTCGTTTTCACTGGATGACCTGACCCCGAATCGAACGGGGGTTTCCTGCGTGAAATGACCCCGACATCGGACAGATTCGCAGCAGATGTGGACCGTTCCACTTCAAATCTTAACTCTACACTTACTCCCACTCCTTCCATGCACAACTTTCCCAGCTAAGGTCGAAGTTGTGTCCGTCGATGTCATCGCACAAATGAACCCAAGGCTGGGTCCCGGGCGGCTGGGGCTTGTGAGCGGTTGAACACGAACTTGAAACCGTACATAAACTGTGAGGCTTCAGCTCAAAGAATCGTCAAAACATAGCTTTGAAAAGGAAATTAAAAAAAATCGGTACCTTGGTCGACATCACGACCTGGCCCCGAATCGAACAAGGCGTTTTCTGCATGAAGCGTTGGACTCGGTGAGAATTCACAGCAGATGTGGACCACTCCACTTTAGGTCTTGATTATGCACCTGCTCTCACTCCCTTCATGCGCGACCTTTTCAAGGTTTGAAGCTGCGCATCCTAAGACACAAATCAGGTATCAGGCCAACATCTGGATGGTGCTTGCAAATTTGAACAGAAACTACGTTGGCTTGCTCTATAACGGCATAATTGAACATTGATGAGAACTCCACAGAATAGTCAAAAATAAATTGCCGACTCCCTCCATGACCCGACCCCGAATCGAACGGGGATTTTCTGCGTGAAAGGTGCGACTCATGGATTCGCACCTGCTCTCACTCCCTTCATGTTCAGGGTCGAAGTTGAGTCCGAGCGTAATGCGACGAGGAGGAAGCGAAGGACAGGCCAAAGCCTTGTCGCGCTCACATGGTCTTTTGTCATGGCACTAGCCAAACAGTTGGCTAATGGTGGTGCTTTAGGCATTAATTCCGGTGGCTAGAGCCATTTACATTAGGGTAAATATTAGTATATGGCTCCCAACATTGAAGAGAGGCAAGGGATGATTGAGTAGTGTCTGTGGCTGAATGGCGTCTTTTTTATAGGCCTGCCACGAGCTTGCGTGGCCGGAGTTCAAGGCCATGCTGTGCTGATGTGCGAAAGACGTGCAAAATGAGGATTTGGTTCAACAGCAGTTGAAAGCTATTGAACCGTGAGATTTGTCTGCTAACCAGAAGAAATCCGCAAGCCACAGTTCAGAATTTCATGGTAGCAATCTGCAGCGTATATTCGTCACCTGGAGCGGGTCGGAAGTGAACAGCTTGTGGCTGTGGAAATCCATTGCAGAAGCTAACAAGTCTCTCGGCAGGGCTGCGCACGGATCGGTAGCACAGCGATACAGAAGATAATCAGCAAAGCTGTTAAATTTTGAGCAGCAGTGCAGGGAGAACTAGTTGCGGTTATAACAGTTCATGCAGAGATTCAAGCGAAGTGGTGAGGTGCAAAGCACACTCTGGTAGTAGTACATAAAAACAGCATTATCTGATATATTCTACCACCTCATGGTCAACACATGTGTGTAGGTCGCCACCATCAGGGAAAGCCGCTTCTGACGCCGAGACAGCGGAGCGAAACAAGGACGAGTATACAGCCTGAACATATTTAACCGCTTTCAGCTTTGACAGACATCTTGCTTGACTTCATCTCAGGCTTTCGATGCTGTGGTATGATTCAGCCTTGCATACCAAATGAGGAGGACATGTTGGAATCAATAGAGCAATCCAGTATTAGCAGTGAACCCATTGCAAACACGTGGGGAATTCTTTGCTATCTACACTATATATATATTACTTTCCTGTAATTAAGGTACAAATTAAGTCTGTCAGGTACTGGTACGGGCACAGGAATGAATGGTGGGGACCTGGTAACAAAGTGCGCCGCAGGGCAGTGCATGCCATAACTCGTAACTCCAACAGGACATGCTGTGTTTATATCTGGTATTTAGCTGCTGTCCCTCTGTTACTGCGCGCACAGCGATTGACAGTCCTGTTTTCTACGTCAAAGTCCACTGCTGTAGCAAGATATTCTCCTCATTCTTTGGTCAGTTCCATCTCCCGTTCAAACTTCGCTCGCAACTGGTATAGTGTTGTTCCACAGATCCACACGAGTCTCTTACGATCTCCACAGCCATGCCTCGCCCACCCGATCAATCCCAGACATATAATAGTTATCTATGGAAAGCCGGAGCACCACGCTCTGAAACAAGTGATGTTATCAGTTTCGGCATGATAGCCGAAGCCGTGCCGTGACTCGTCCCAGGGTGATTGCTTTTGTTGTAGAGTTGTTCACGCAGCTAAAACCAAGCGAAATACTACCAGGGACGGAGGGCTGAAGAACTGTGTCAAATTTAACCTGAAAGAGAGGTACACTGCCCCGCTTTTTCGGATTTTGACAGTATCATGGATGTCGCAAAGGATAATGCGAAGTGCTAGATGGACTTTTGGGCTTCCTTGAGCTCTCATCAAGTGTTTTAGCTTGTGATACTCATCTTTGGATTAGTGTGCAGCCTCATCCATCCATTTATTTCTCATTCTTGAATTTTAAGATCAGTTCAACCATCAAGTCACTGCTCATGGTTGTAAAGGTGAATGTTCCCGCTGTACTGCCCAATTTGATCTGCAGGCCTACAGAGAGGGGTGTTCCATTAGTAGAGGATCTGTAGTATTGTAATTGGGGTGTTCTTGCCAAGGGAATGATTCAACCTAAATGATATAGTGAAGCACTGTCGTCGAGCTAAAATTATATTCCAGGCCAAGAAGCCAGCCGGGGATCTGGCACATTTGAGCCTGGAGCAAACCAACAGTTGAGGAACCCCAGGAAAACTCACTATAACCCGTTCTCCAGTTATGTAAAGCATGACATGTCGTGTTCGACTTACCTCGGGCATATCGGGGATATCAAAACCCGCGCTCAAGAAGATTATAGGATGCCTTATCGGGCGCGAGCCGATGGAATTAAACGTTCTATATCGATATAGACGTCATGAGACCTTAGGAAAGTCTTAAACTCACAGGATTAACCGTCTCTCTGTGCTTGTGCTTCCACAATAACAGGAAATAGCGGTTTTGGTCACTTCTATTGAAAGGGGATAGAAGCCACCGAATCAGATAAATTTCTGAGCGTGCGTAATGCTAGTCAGAGCCTCCACAGGACACGATAGAGCTAGCTTGATCTCAAATCCACTTCGGGAAGACAGCGGCCAACGTTCGGCATTTGATCAAATCATTTGTTTCAAAGCGTGGTGCTCCGGCTTTCCATAGTTATCAGATTATCCACGGTACGAGGCAAATTGGTTATGGCACCAACATCGTTACTGATATTCCCCAGGAGGCAGAGGAGGCCCTGGTGGTGGGGGTGGAGCCGCGGGACAGGGTGGTGATGGGGGTACTGGGGAGGCCGCCACTCTGAATTATGATGTTAATTCCGAGTACTTCACCATGAACCTTGTCATGCCGGATCACTGGCTGGATGACGGGCGCGTCGGACTGCCAGCGGCCACAACTTTGGATCTGGAAACTGGTTGGTCTGAAGAAGTCAGCCGCGAATTGACTGGCGCTACGAGGAACCCAGGCACAGTCCGGTGCGTTCCAAATGAAATTGATAATTTCCTACTTCTAATACCAATAAGATCTCTCTTCTCGCCCGTGTCGTTTACTGACGGGTTTAATGACGAAAATCCGTCATCGGTCTCACAAACCTCCTTCTACACGCGGACATCATCTTCCATGTCCCTCCCTCCCTTTCGCCTTGCGTTGCCTCTATCCGATCCGCCGTTCCTACATCCCTTTGAATCTCGATACCCCTTTAATCAAATACCCCCGACTGATTTCTCGACTGGACCATATCCGAATTTCCACTCGGATTGGGGGAGGAACCACTCCTTGCCTGTCTTCGAGCACCGAGATCATGTTCCCGCTGAAAGAGCCGAGGCGTCGGGCGGCGACTCTCGCTTCGAAGGTCCCCCACATTGCTTGCAAGCCGACCCACTGCGATCTAATGACAGGCCATTCATCACTGTCAACCACCACCACAGGGAAGCAGGAATACATATTCTCCATCGCACAGTTGCCCTGGAGGCATTGTACGACTCTGCAGAGAGTTTTCCTCAGCCCAAATATCATCCCGAAACACGCACAGAATTACTCAGCAAACTTTATCACTGGGCAACCGACCCAGACTCATGCTATTCCATTCAGTGGCTGCATGGTCCTGCTGGGGCTGGAAAATCAGCCGTTATGCAGACTCTGTGTCGGCGACTGCAGGATGCTGGGCGACTCGGCGGCAGCTTCTTCTTCAAGCGGGCCCACCAGACACGTGGTAACGCAAAAGTGCTCTTTGCGACGCTTGCTTACCAGCTTGCAAATCATCAACACAATTTGAAGGGCCCGATCTTGCAAAGCATAGAAATGGATCTATCGGTTCTCGGTAGAGGCATGGATGCACAGCTGCGCACCCTGATTCTGGACCCATGCAAATCGCTCCGGGGTGCTACACACTCGGTTCTCCTTATTGACGGGTTGGACGAGTGCGAAGGGCACAATATCCAGCGAGAAATATTGCGTTTAATAGGATCCACTGCTGAGGAGTATTGTTTTGCACTTCGGATCCTCATTTCCAGCAGACCAGAACCACATATTCGAGAGATGTTTCAGGAGGAATACTTCCACGGACTTGTTGATTCCACCAATATCGAAACAGTCATTCGACGACATCCAAACTTACCTCTGGGATGAATTTTCACGCATTCATCGCGAGCATTCTACCACTATGCGAAACATTCCGACCCCATGGCCATCGTCACAGATTCTGGAAATGCTAGTTCAAAATTCATCAGGTTACTTCATCTATGCATCTACAATTATCAAGTTCATCGACGACGAGTAT